CCCCGCCCTATTCCCCGGCCCCGCCCCACCCCGCCCTATTCCCCGGCGGTGCCCCATCCCCCGGCCTCGCCTCATCCTCTGGCTGCCGCCGGTTCTGTGCGCAGTGTACGTTTGTCGAATGACTAAAGAATGGATAAATTATACAGACTTTCTTCCCACTCCCCCTCTCAAAAAAACAAGTGGTTGGAGATTATTTAAAGATTTTATCCCCCGGTGCCTGGGTGGCTCAGTCGGTGAAGCGTCGGCCTTCGGCTCAGGGCATGATCCCAGGGTCGTGGAATCGAGTCCCGAGTGGGGTTCCCTGCTCGGCGGGGAGTCTGCTTCTCCCCCTCCCTCTACCCCCACCCCGCTTGTTCTCTCTTCTTCATTAGCTGAAGAGGGCCATCCCTACAATTAATAATAACAACTATGATGAAAAGGTGAACTGCAAACGCAGAGGGGAGAGTGAGTCCAACAGCGCGACATCCAAACATGCCTACCGCCGAGGCGAAACAGCAGCCTCAGCCAGAGGCAAAGCGAAACCCCTGCGCCGCCGGCACTGCGTGGAGGCCGGGCGGGGACACCTGCCCGCGAAGCCAGCGCCCAGCGGGGAAGCAGCCCCCTGACGCGCAGCTGCGAGACGCGCGCCGTAATCGCGGGTTGGCGGGGCGGGGCCTCGGATCGCTGGGAGGCGGGACGCGGGCCCCTTCCGCACGACTATTGGTCATCTTGAGGACGGACTGCTCTCGCTGACCAACCGTAGTCCAGATGAGGCGCAAGCGTATTCGGGAGTCTACGCGAAAGGGCGCGGAAGGCGAGAAGCGCGCATGCGCCTGGGCTGCGCCCACACCGTAACGAGCGGGGCGGGTGGTTTCCCTCGACGAGCCCAGCCCACCGAGGCTGCGCAACGTTCCTGAGTGTGCTTCTCTGGGAACCTCGGGACAGGGAACGTTCAGTGCCCAGAAACTGCCCCGCTGGGAATCCCCGTCTCCAGCTCCTCCTACCCTGTGTTGTCGTCCGGCCGCGCCCTGACCCGCCCTGAGGCTGGTGAATTATTGAAGAAGCCGTGAGCCTGACGCGCTCCGCGGGCAGCGCGCCTCCCCCCCGCGGGTGCGCGGCTGGCGCGCCGCCCGGCTCTGCCCCTGTAGTAGCTAACTGTTAGACCTAGCGCGGTGAGCTAGACAAGCACGGGGTGACCCTAGGTAGTGCTGAGTGCTCGGAGCAACGTGGCACTGACGGAAGGACGGGGGGTGGCCGGCGCGGAGGTGAGGAGGGCACAGCCGCAGGGCGCAGCGGTTGGCGCAGCGGGCAGAGCAGGTGCACGAGCCCTTGCGTGAGGCCGTGCGGCTGGAGCAGAGGGAGACAGGCTGTACACCTGACCATAGTCCGCTCAGGAATCTGGAGAGGATTCTCAGTACAGCGGGAACACAGTAGACTCAGGCAGAACCTTGATGTGACATGATTTCTTAGCACTCCGCCGAGTGGAGAACAGATTTTTAGGAAGAGTGGAAATAGACCAGTTCAGAGGCTGGGAGAGAGGGGCGTGGCTTGAACCTACCTAGGTAGCTGGTGAAACGCCTGAATTCAGGATAGGATTGGGTTGTGTTGGGTGAGGAAGGAAATAAAATCAGGATAAGTCCCAAGCTTTTGGAATGTGCAACCAGGTGAATGGTGGTGCAGTTTATTGAGATGGGAACAGGTACTGGGGATGGGACTCGAGGTTCATCTGTGGTCACGGTGAGTCTGAGATGTCCATTGGACATCCAGGCAGACATGTCAAGTTGGAGGGTGGAGCTCGTGGAGAGGGATCAAGGAGAGAGTTATGCATATGGACAGGTAGATGGTATTTAAAGCCATGGATCTTGGTAGTGCCACTTGCAGGCAGAAAATAGAAGAGGGCCAAGGGGAAAACCCTGGGGTTCTCCAGCATCGAATGGCCCAGCGGAGGCAGAGGGTATGGCACAGGAGACCGAGAGGGTAGAGAGGAGAAGTGGGAGTGTATGAGGCCCTCGAAGACAAGAAAGGGTAAACACCAAGAGAAAAGATGCGGGTTATCTGGCTTAAATGTTTCTCAGGACTCAAGTGCCGTGCAGGCCGAGAAATGGCCATTGGGTCTTTTACCTTTTTGGTTCCTGAACGCTTTTTCAGGGGCAGTGCCTAGGGAGAGGTGGGGATGGAGGCTGACAGGAGTGTTCAGAGAAGAGGAGGAAACGCAGAGAGAAAACATTTTGCAAAGGAGCAGAGATGCAGATAGCTGGAAATCAATGTCTTGAGAGATTTTCTTACCTCCGAGAGATACCAGAACAAATTTCCATGATGACAAAGAATGACCCCGAGGAGAAGGGGGAAAACTGAAATTTATTGAAGGCTTATTTAGTGTATTAAGAGCTTTACAAACATTCATCTTCATAATGTTTTATGGATCAGGCAGTTGAGGTTAAATAATTTGCCCCAGGTCATGCAGCTAGAGGTGGCAGATCTGAGAGCCACCGAGATTTCTCGGACTCTTCATGCCTTACCACCGCATTGCACAGGCACACAGCCCCTGTGCATAAGCACTGGGACATGGCTTTGCCCTGGCCAGAGTGCCCCTGTCCAGTCGGAGAGCTCGTTCATGCTGGGGTAGGGCTTTATTTTCCTCTTCCGATGCTGTAAGCAGGGGCCTCTCCCCGCGCCAGCCTGAACACCCAAATACCCATGCAGCACAGGACAGAAGCCCTCCTAGTCCCAAGGGGCAATGGCAAGCAGGAGGAGCTCCCAGAGGTAGGAGGCAAAGGGATACTTCTGGGGGTGTTCAGCGGGTTTCTTTTTGTGTCAGCCAGTGCATGGGGTGCTGGTTGGTCCCAACCAGCTGGTGCCTATGGCCCCAGCATTCATCTGGAGCTGTTCAGAGTGGCAAGAAGCCCCGGTCAGAGCCCAGTCTCCCGGCTGCCCCCATTGAGGCTGAGGCTGTGGGGGCGGGTACTGCGCTCCAGCCGGCGGCCAGACAGGAGGCGTCGCAGGGAAGAGCCGGAGCTCAGGTCGCCACAGCTTCGAAGGTGGAGGCTCTCTCGGCCTGGCCGGCCCCATGGGCTTCGGGGCACCTAGAGGCGGACACAGGACAGGGCATCAGCGTGGCTCAGCCTGAGGCTCCAGGCTTTCCTGGTTATCTTCCCAGACTCCCCTAACTCCTACCTGCTTAAGCCCATGGGCCCCATTCCCACTGGGGTCTGGGGCCTTCTTGGACATCGGGAAGAAACGAGTGACCAAGCCTCGGCCTGGCCAGCTGCTCTTCAGGTCTCCCAGGGAGTGGGCAGGTGCCGGGCCCGAGGGCAGGGGGACCTTTTGAAAGGTGGGCACGGGGCGCCGTTTCTCAGCTGAGCGGGCACGTAGCAATTTGGGCGAAGGGCAGCGGGCTAGACGGAAGAGGCAGGCTTCAGAGCAGAGCCCTGGAGACAGAGAAGGTGGGAAGGGAGGTGCACGGAGGGCCAGGCAAAACTCCCATAACCGCCTCCCCCCACCTCGGTACCAACCACATGCCTGACCTGTATCTGCAGAGGAAACGGAAGCAGCTTCTTCCTCGAGCACTTTGGTATAAAGGTCCCTGAAGTCAGCTGGGGAGGAGAGGGAGGGACTGGAAGGGCCCAGTGGACACACCCTCCGGGAGAGACTCAAGCCCAGAGCAGCTTTCCCAGCCCCCACACTCCACTCTCAACCAAGCGGGCATCCCCTCTGCCCATGTCTGCCAGAAACCCGATGGTACAGCCCAGCTAGGCAGGGACTAAGGCGGTCTGGTTGGTGGCTGTATCTCCCCCAGTCCCCCCAGTACCTGGCACACAAGGCCAGTGGTAAGATTCCATCACATCACCTCATTGCTCAGTAACTCGAGCACCTGGGCTGAGGGGCCGCTCCTGCACGCCATGAACAGGCGGGAAGCCGCCATGAACAGGCGGGAAGCCGCCA